ACTTACTTCAGAATGTGTCTAGGTGAGGGTCTTTTTTTAAGATTTTACTTATTTATTTGAGAGGAGAGAGCATGAATGGGGGAAGGGCAGAGGAAGAGGGAGAAGCAGACTCCCAGCTGAGCAGGGAACCCCACATAGGGCTCCACCGGGGGCTTGATCCCAGTACCCTGGGATCATGACCTGAGCCAAAGGCAGACGCTTGACCTAAAGAGCCACCCAGGCGCCCCGTGAAGGTCTTTTTTTATTGGTTGTATTGGGTGAACAACGCATCTTTCTTTGTAATTAAAAAAAGAGAGATACAAACAAAAATGAGATTATATGTATATATCATCCATAATTAATAAACATTAACACTTTCTTGTATTTGTTTAATATCTTTGTATTAACAGATCAAATTAAACTACATATACTGTTAGAGTCACACTTTCTTCCATCCCTTCCCAGAGGTAATTGATATTGTAAAATTGATGTGCAACTTTCAGTACCCATTTTAAATTGTTCTAGAAATATATCTATCCAAAATAATATATAGCATTGTTTTGTATGCTTAAAATTATATAAATGGCATTATCCATATCTTTCTACAAATTGCTTATTTCACACAACATTAGGTTTCTGAGAATTGTCTAGACTGATATATAGAGATCTAGCTCACTCAATTTTACTGCTTTATAAATTCTATTATATAAATATATGATAGATTACCTATTCAAAAACCTACACAGCAAACATCAACCTTACTGCAGAAACATCGACCATTAAAATGGGAAACAAGACAAGTATGCACTGTATCATCAATACTGTTGTTCTGGAGGTCTTTGACAGTGCAATGAGATAAGAAAAAGAAATGAGCTATAAAATATTGAACAAGAAGAGATAAAACTGTCATAATTTGTAAACTATGTATATCTACTTAAAAGTCAGAAAGTAAAAAGCAGCAAAATAATAAAACTAATAATAGAGTTCACAAAAATGTAGAATGACAATGCTACATCAAGAACTTTTATACAAATCAACAGTAATTGTTTTTTTTCAAAGATTTTATTCAAATATTTGACAGACAGAGAGAGATAGCGAGAAAGGGAACACAAGCAGGGGGAGTGGGAGAGGAAGAAGCAGGCTTCCCGTGGAGCAGGAAGCCTGATGCGGGGCTCGATCCCAGGACCCCGGGATCATGACCTGAGCTGAAGGCAGACGCTTAATGATTGAGCCACCCAGGCACCCCACAGTAATTGTTATTTTTGAATGAAAAAATATATATGTACAAAATTCAAAAGGCATAAAAAAACAGAGAAAAAAATGAGTCTCTTACTGACTTTTCCCATACAAGCCCAATATATCTGTCAGGAGGTAGAAACTGCTATGCCATTCTTTGTGTATCATTAAAAGAAAATTTATACAATCTTAGAAAATGTAAAATTACATATATGATGCAATAACATAGATAATATTTATGAAAATATACACAGCACTGTTTATTCAGCTTGCTTTTCTCTCACACAAATAAAGTAATTTTGGTTAGGGAAGAAACCAGTCCCCACTTTCCCATGTTGTTAAAGTAAGTCAGGGGACAGCGTTCCTAAGTTTCCTCTGGGCCAGAATATGTCCTGAGAAGGAACCTGGGGCAGAGGCCTGCTCACAAGCACCAACACCCACCTCCCTGCTAACACACACACCCCTTGCCATAGGGCTCCCCAGTGAGCTGAGGGTCCCCGAGTCAGTTAGAGCTTCCTGGGAGAAAGGTGTGTCCCGGGGAGACTTGACACCAGGGAGCCACAGAGGGGATGCTCCGCAGGGTGCATGAGGTTCCCAGATGTGCCACACTGCAGCAGGAGAACGGAGTGATAAGTGGTGCTGGGTTACCCTGTTCCCCGCTGGGGGAAAGAAGTGAAGTTGGGTCACCCTTCCCACCTTGCACAAAGGTAAACTCCAAGGAGATCTGTGAGACAACCCTTTCAGGGGAAGAGTGTGAAGGAATTAGGAAACCATACAGGAGACTCTCTCTGTAATCAGGGCATGAGGGAGGGCAGCCTAAGCCACACATAGAAACAAGAGGCTCTAAGGGAGAAGGAGCCTGCCCTCAGGGGGAACTGGAGGCCCTGAGCAAAGAGAGGAGGCAAGTGACAGAGTGTGAGGTGACGCCTGCGGCATGTGTAGCAGACAAGGAATTGGCCAACCCTCTGCGGGACTGTGCTGGACTGTGGTGAGGCGCCCATCTGCATCTTAGAACAACTGGGGGTGGGGGGGCCCTTAAGGGAGCCTGGGGCCAGCCCTGGCCACAGTTGTCAAACTCGAAGCGGAATGGCGCTGTGGCAGCTGAGAGATTGACCTGGTGAGGGCCGTGCCTGTCCGTGGGTGGCACTTCAAAGGGAGGGGTTGGTGGTGGAAACGGCTTTGAGACCGGCGCATGGGGTCCCGGTGAGGAGGCAGAGTCTGAGACTGGCTGTATGGGCCTGGAAGCCGGGTGTGTGCAACCTCCTGTGTGTGCCCTTCATGGGGGCGGGGAGCGGGGAGGGCAAATCCCAAGACCCCCAGGAGAGGTAGCAAGCTGGGGAGGGCACCGGGAGTTGGTGTGCAGCCGGTACCTACAGGTACCCAAAGTGGACGTCCTCAGGAGATGCGTAAGAAGCAAGACCAGGCCTTTTGTGGAGCTGGAAGGCAGTCCACGGGGACGGGCCCCCCAGATTTACCCAAGAGGCAGGCTAGGCTGGGGTGGGCCCCCTCAAGGCGGGGCACTTCCCCATGGAGTGTGACAAGCTGCAGCTTTGATGCCCTTGTCGAACATTTACCACGGGGAAGCCCAGAAAGAATCTGTTCACTGTACCAGGCAGGTGGGCACGTTCAGTGTTGGTGGCCCCACGCCGTTCCATTCTGGATTAGGTGTGTGTGGGGGAGCGGTGCACCACAGTCTTCCTGGGGCTGACAGCCTCTGAATGTCTCCATTGGGCCCTGACTGGCAGGCATGCTCCCGAACCCCCTCCGCCGCCCCTAGGGCTCCTGCCTGGCACAGCAAGCAACCAAGGCATAAAGGGCAGACCAGGGGCCTGAGCTACACGACACAGGGGGAGTGTTTGGGGGAGGGCAGTGCCAGCAGAGGCACCGGAAGCTCTTGCCTTGGGCCAGGGTCCCACCCTGGAGACCCTTGGACGCCAACGGGCTTCCCTGTGACAGACAGTTGCTCAGGAGATGAGCAGACAGTCTCCACGGTCCTCCCTGTGTTAGAAGTCAGCTGTGGCCCCAAAGGGCCAAAGGCCTGCCTTGGAGAGGGGGGACAACTGCCTGTGGCAGCACTCGAATGGGGATTTGGCAGAGCGCAGAGGAGTGGGGAGGTGCCTGTTAATTTGGGACCCCGAGCCAGGAGGAAGGAGATCTTCTGACTTTGTGCTGTGCTTCAGGAAGCTGAGCGTGAAGGGGTGTCGCTGAAGACAGCATTGGCCAAACAGGCTCCCCTGGGACAAGTGGGTGTGGGAGCTGTCTGCAGGGCACCCCTACTTGGGAAACATTGCCCAGTCCCCGTGAGGCTGGCTTGGGAGAAAGTGTTGGTCACATTAGCAACTCTTAGGAAACATGACAGGGCCCTGCAGCCAGCAGAGGAAGCCCCCGGGGGTGGGGGGGCGGGGGTGCTGTGTGTGTGTGTGTGTGTGTGTGTGTGTGTGTGTGTGTGAGCCCTGCTGGGGGTGTGTTGTCACAGTAACCACAAGTCACATGCTGGCCATCCAAGGTGCCAGTGCCTGGGGAGAGGCGGTGTCCCCGTTGCAGGTTGGAAGATTCCCCAGAGATGGTCCTGGGACCCGGCCAGCTCCCGTACCTGCTAGTCAGCCCGAAGGGTGAGGGGTCGGGTACAAGCTGAAGAGTTGTAATCCACCTGCCACCCAAAGCCCGGGAGGAGGGAGGAACAAATACGACTATGGTGTGTGTGGAGGAGAGCATGCAGAAGGCAGAGTGCTGATGCCCAGGGCACCGTGGCCCGGAGCAGCATCCCAGGGAGACCAGGAGAGGGCACCAGGCACAGAGGCAGCCCTGCCCAAGGGAAGCTTCTTGTGGCCTGTGTTGTGGGCCAGGGCTTAGGGGAAGAGGACCATCGCTTGACACGTCACAACCACTCAGGGAAGCTGGCTTTGGTGATGCAGGGGCCAAGGGCTGCTGGGAGGGCTCTGGCAGCGCTCAGCGGGGAGGCTGCCTGAGTCCTCCAGGTCCACGGAGTGGTTCCGTGCACAGGGCTGGGTTCCTCCTTTCCTCCCAGGGGGGCCGGGAGCTTGGATGGGGGTGACGGAGACGTCTCTCCCGATGGACCGGCCATAGCCCTGCCAGGCACCCCAGCGTCTGCCCTACCACCCTGACCGGGAGTTCACGGAGGGCTCCACGGGCCCCTTCTCGGAGGTCACCGAAGGGACCGGGGAGAGGGCCAAAAGGAGGTTCCTCCGAAGGAAGTGGGGGCCAACCTTTCTTCCTCTGCCAGGAATTGGGGTTTGGGCTCCCAAGGAAGGGAGTGGGCCCAGAAGTGGGTTTAACAGCCGCTTCACAGGAGAGAGAGAGAGAGAGAAGGACACCAAGGGGCCACACAGCGAGCGGCAGCCATCGTTGCTAGACTTGGGCACTGAATGCCCGGCGATGGGTTGCCAGGTGGTCCCCGGGGATGTGTAGGCAGACCCCAAGGATACTGCCCTTCCTGCCCAGGCTAGCAGTCCAGGAGAAACCCCTTCCTCGAGGGATTTCCCTGCTCCAGGTGCCAGGCACTGTGCCGCCGGCTTCCCGGGTGCTGTGTCCTGCAGTCCTGATGCCACCAGCCCCACCTCTGCTCCCTGGCTTCCGCCCCTGGCCCCCAGCCCCTTCTCTAGGCTGATCCTGAGCACTCCCGCCCACCTCCGCCCCCGCCTCCTGTGAGCGCCCACAAGCGCGCCCCTGTCAGGGAGCATAGCCCCAGGGAGTCAGCGTTGGTCTCCTACTTCCGTCTTCCTCTGCATGCAGACTGTAAACTCAGGGACAAGTTCCACGTCTCGTTTTCGCCAATCAAAGCGCACAACTTTATTGATGATACATACAAACGTAGGCCTGGGTGGATGAGGTTAAGTCAGCACAGCACAGACAAGGGGCGTGTCCTTCGTGGACGCACAGGTTCTCCGTCCATCAACTCGCATAGAAGAAGGAGTAAATGGGAAAGAATTCGACCTAAGCGGCAACAGATGCGTTTCCAGCACGAGCCCCGACACGTGTCTGGTCTCCACAAAGCGGCCCGGCTTGGACAGGGAGACCGCCACGGGCAAGGCCTCCCTCGCCATGCTCTTAGAGGATGTTCCGTAGCCACGGCTGGCGGCTGAAAGGATCCCTTTGCCGCAGGAGGAAGGCCGCAAGGGAGTAACCGACAGCGCACACGGCCTGCAGACTGCAAAACCAAGAAGTTACTCCGAGCTCTGGGGGGACCCCTGCCTGGCCCAGAAGAGTGTGGTCCTCCACGTAGCAAGTGTAACTTGCACCCCGTGATGCGGTGACTGGCTAAGGCTGGATCTCCAACAGCACCCACTGCAGACTCTTTGAATGAGAACACGAGGGTGTGTTCACCAGCAGGCTTTTGGGTGGATTCCGTCCCGTTCCGTTCCGCTCCGCTCGAGGCGGCCATCTAAGAGGCCAGGGTGTCGGGGAGAGCCTGTGTGTTTCCGTTCCTGATCAAGAGGGACACGAATGAGAGCAGCGTTTGGGCACCCAGCGATTCCCCTGCCAAGACTGGCTTTTCAGACAAACCCATCGACAGTTTCAAAACCTGAACCTTGGCACATCCACTTCCCTCGGATATCAAAGGGAACTTCAAGTCTGAAACGGACTCGGCAAGCATGTGATTAATAACTGTCATGCTTATTAACAAATTGAATCCGGCCCGCTGCAGAAATGAGTTGCAGCAATGTGACACAGTCTCCCGACACACTCCACTGATGGACATCTTAATCTGGCCCTGGTTTTCAACCCTTGCATTTAAGTTATCCAGAGCACAGAAAGCCTTCTCCTTAATAGCGGGGTCGGGAGTGGGGATCGTGCTTCCAACAACGCAGAGGCTGGTCGAATGACGATTGATACCATGGCTAAATGAAAAACCAGCATCCTTGGGCTGAGCAAACCACATTTTTCCCTGAATGAAAGGACACTTAGAGAGGTCAAGTACACACCTGAAATTTTTAAAGCTTTGAGTGCTCCAAGAATTTTTATGTTCATAGGGGAATAGGCGCTGTTTTACTGGGTGTGTTCGGTTGGCCTTGCCCCCACCTGAGGGCCTGTCCTCAGTGCCACCAGGGGCCCCAGGTTCAGTCCAATCCCCATCCTCACTCCAGGGCCGAGCCATAGTTGTGAAATCAAACCAAAGCTCAGGTTCTTCCTCATCCAGCTCCTGGTCATCGTCCCATTCCTCTTCCTCCTCCTCCAACTTGTCACTGTCATCTCTTCCTATGGTTAGTTTGTAAACACAGTAGCAGGCACCAGCCCCAATCATCAGTCCTGCTGCCATCCAACCCACTTCCCGAGCCCGGCCCATGCTCAAGTCCGTGCCAGCCTTTGGACAGGACAGGAGAGGGCCTTGTTCCACCTGATTGAGGAGGATTCTTAGGGCCAGGGTGAGTAATGGTGGAGCGTAGTCCTCTTCAGCCTCTCCAGGGCTCCTGTAGCTCCCTTGTGATGAATCTATGGGTGCAAAATCATATTAGGGCCTTGTGCTGAGTCTCAGTTTGTGCCTCACTACACAAATAGAGTGGAGTTTGAGTTCTGGTTGAGAGAGGTGGATTATTAGGAAACTACTTCTTTGTTCCTTTTTGTCAACCTCTACCTACCCTCAGGACCCACCATTTCTCCCCCAGGCCCTACAGAAAAGGGCAGGGGATGGGGCTGGGCTATGACAGCCAGGAGGGTGACATGGAGAGGCACACGCTCAGGTAGTTTCCTCCACTACCACCCCCTCCCCCAAAGATTCACAGGCAGGTCTCTCCCACCAACCTCTACCAATGTCAGGTAAATTTCTTCTTCTTCCCTCGTCTTCTGTTGTCAGTACTCCTTCCACGGAGATTGATGGACAGTCTGGCAGAAGGTCGGAAAGACAGCTGGCTTTGGAGAACTGAAAGTGTGGTGGATGGATCAGCACTGAGAACACGGGTCCTAATACCCACTTTTCTGCATTTTCAGCCTTTGACTTTAAAATATTTCTCACACCTTCCCGACTTTCCAAACGAGGGCTCCCCCCTCCTCCCCCGTTATCGTCCGCCATTTCCCCAGCAAAGGCCGCCACACCCCTTTCCCTGCACTGAAATGGGAGGGGGTGTGGAGAAAGAAGGGGCCAGGAGAGGGCGACTCGGACCCGGCCCGCGCAGATCCCAGCCCTTCCTCCTCCGCCACCCCCAACGCCACCCCCAGCCAGGGTCCAGGGCTCATCCCACCTTCACACGGACCTGCACGGTCCCAAGGCAGTTGGCTCCTTCCCTCGGCACGACTTTTGAGGCGACCTATGGGCCAACAGACCCTATAAACCTGCAAACAGGCAGGGAACCGAGGGGACGGAGTGCTTGGTGGACGGAGCAGGACTCGGGACACGAGTACCCTGAGTGTGGCACCTTGCTTCGGAGTCTCTGTCAACCGCCATCCACTCGCCTCACCCCCACCCAAAGTCCGCCGGTTCTCTCCGCTAAATGGGCACAAGGGGGGGGGGGGCGGTGGTATTTAGAAAGTAGGCGGGAAGGGAACCCAGCCCGAATCAGCCCGAACCTGGATCCGGGGCGCCCTTGGCCCTCTCCTCTCCCCACCCGCCTCTAAGCAGAGCCCAGGCTGCTACCGACCTCGCGGTCCGGGGCTAGTTTCCTTCTTCCTTCACACGCCTGCGGAGTAATGGGGGGCTGGTACCCAGACGGAGGCGACTAGCAGGACTTCTGCTCCAGGCAGCTCTTGGTCACGTGACGACCACGTCACCGGTGAGCTCTGGCCCCCAGTTTCCACTCCCACAAGCAGTGCGGCAGGCGCCAGCCTGCCCCGTACCTCCCCCCTTCGCATTGGGCCCTGTCATTCTTTTCCTCTATAACAATACCATTAAACCAGAAGTGGCCGTGGCTCTCTGGTGTTTGAATTTGCCTTTCTCTAAGTATACGAAGGGGCTGCATCTTCTCTTGGGTCTGCCATTCCTTATACTTCTTCTGGGGGGAAATTTCTTATCCTTTCCTTGGCTCTGAAACGCCTGCCCCCCAGTCCTTAATTTCTACCCCTTTGCACATCCAGTCTCTGCACCAAAATTGGGGGTGGGAGGTGGCATAAAAGGAAGCTCAAGTCGTGAGGTTTTTATTAATATTTTTCATACATTTATGTTCTATTTCTTCCTTTCTTTTTTATTGACTCAAGCTAGATTATTTTGTAACCAGAAAACATAATAAATCTATTTCACTTGGAGAAAAAAAATTTCAAGTTATGTACATTTGTGTGTGTGTTATACATATATATATGTAATAAACAAAATTTTCCAGTTAATAGAGAGGCCTCATTGATTTGGTTAAATTAATTTGTACCCTGTTGAAAATGTTTTCTACTGACTGCACAGGAAATAGCAGCTTTCAAACAGCATATTAAAATTTAAAAATATATCCTTACAAACAAAACCAGTGTGCTTTCAGATGATTTATAAATTGGTGGATAAAATGAATCTATAGTGAGGTGGTCAGTGTTTTACTTGTGGCCATTTTCAATAAGTGAATCACTATCCCTTTCTTACTCCTGGCTTAACTCATAGTATTAAGTGTCAGATGGCTGAGAACTTCATAGAATATTGCTGGATAGCTTTCACTCTGGCTTCAAAGGACAGACTTTATGCAGACCCTAAATTCAGTTGAATCTTACCGTTCAGATGAACTTTAGAAATCAGTAACTTCACAGGTTAGCCTGTCTTTTGTTCAAAAGTCTTTATTTAAAGTCTATTCTGAAGTTTCATGGTGTAACTCAGAAATTATCCATAAATTAGAGTTGTCCCTGCTCTCCCACCGATGGAAATGAGGCTTAGCGGGTGGAATTTTCATTTAATTGTGACACTCATGAGGTATCTCCGGGATCTGTTGTTCATGTACTATATGTCTGTCATCCCCGGCAGCCCCTAGTGCTCAGCATCTTCCAGTGGAGACAGCGGTGAGGGTCTGTGGGTGACTGTGAATCACTGCAACACCCCTGAAATCGGTGTCATTTTTCCCTCACGAAAAGCATAGTTTACAGGCTGCCAAGCAGTCACCACCAGCTGAAAAGAGGCCTTTTCACTCCCTACCTTCTGTTACAAGTTCACTGCACCACCCATACAAGCCCCTCAGAATAATCCCAGAACTCAGGGACAAAGTATGCAGAAGTTAGTCCCCAGACATTCAGCTGTCCCTGATAGGGAGTCATACTCTAAATATAGACCTTTCAGGCAGCCTCTTTCTTAGAACGTTGAAATATGACACCCCAGCAGGAAGCTCCCCCTGTGAGGGGCCCCTGTGTGGGGGAGGCCCTTTCAGGAGGTGAGCCAGGGAGCCCAGAGTGCCTTGCTGGTGAATATTCAAAAGTCAAGAACACATCACAACTTTCCGTCTTCCTCAAAACGTTTATAGTCCAAACTCCTTCACCAGTGTCACACCCCTTTTCTCTAAAAATGCTTACCACATTCGTTCTGCATCATCTGCTTCTACTGTTCTTTTTGTCTCCCTTTACTTTCTTCTCCTAGACAAGCGAATTCTATTTATGAAGCTTTACTAACAAATCTAACTGTCCATCATTCAATTTTTGGCTGCTAAGTAATTATATAAGTGGCTTTTGCTTGTTTTGAATGTATACATTAGAAAGAACTAAGGAGTTTGTAAAGCTTAACAAAGCCTCAAGGATAAAAGCGCCACTTTTCCCTCTCCTTACTAGTATAAAGTATCTCCCTCCCCCACTTTGGTATGTTTTCCGGTTATTCCAATGTGTAACTCCCCGACCACCATTTTCCCAGTCCGTCAGACTTTTCCCTGTCAGACCTTTCCCGTTTGAATCCACTCCCTCTCTAAAACGTCCCATACTCCATGGAAATGATAACCCTTTCAATTTCTCTCACTTCTTTGTCATTTAGATCCATAATTTCTACCGGGGAACCTAGAAGCTAGCATTTAAAATCTACTTTGCTCTCCATTATACATCCATCAACAACTATTTAAGGGCATGCTATTTGCCTGACATACCGTTTCAAAAGCAAAAAAGGAAAATCCTTAAGCAGTTCCTCAGACAAGCCTGTTAAAAGTTCCTGAGCCTGCAGAAGGCTCTGTGAAGCCACCGCTGAAAGGAACCTTTTGGCTCAAACTGGTATGTGGTCCCAGGTGATAGTTGTCTTAGACAGTGCTGCCAAACAAAAAAGGATCAGCAGATGCTAACATTAATGGGATTATAGAGAGTGAGAAAAAAATACAGAGAGAAGATCTTTATTTTAAGAAGCTATATTACTTTTTGTATTGTGTTATTTGTTTTTGTGTTGTGTATTAGTTAATTTTGTTTGGTTGCAAGGCAACAGAACCCAAACCTGGTTTAACTGAAACAATGAGGGAGTGTTGCGGACCAGGGTCAGCTCTGAGGCGGATAGGTAGGAGGAATTCACAGACAGTCTCTTCAGGATGCCATTGTTCTGCTCTTTTTTTAAATCTGCATTCTAGATTTAAATTTTAGTAAGAGAGTATTGAGTTGGTCTCTTTTGGGCACAATGCCCACCCTTTTGCTGGGGGGAAAAAGGGGGGATGTAAAATGTAAAATTCACTTCCTTTCTTTTCCCAGAGAGGAATGTAAGTTGTTTCAGACAGTTGATTTGCTGGAGCCTTTTCTTTTATTTTTTTATTTGAGAGTGAGAGAGCACAGAGAGAGAGGGAGAGGGAGAAGCAGACTCCCCGCTGAGCACAGAGCTGGTCGCGAGGCTCAATCCCAGGATCCTGAGATCGTGACCTGAGCCAAAGGTTCAACCAACTGAGCCACCCAGGCGCCCCTTGCTGGAGCCTTTTAAATGACTTTGGATGTTAACCCATTGTCCAGGCGTGAATGAGATGCTGGGGGCCTGCGTGCCACAAAATGCCTTAGTTGTGGTTTTCACATTCACTAAACATCAGAGAGGTACAGTTCAGAAATGGTGATGCACAGGATCGTATTCTAAGCCAGAGTGACCTGGCTTTCCTGACAGGATTCCTTAGGGTTGTATTTATATATCAGCGTCTTGCCCTCATTGTTGCATGATAAATGAAAGCAGAGGTCTCTATCAAGAAAAGACCCCCATTCATAGAGACTTGAATATAAATCTAGATCTGAACACCGGAACCCATGCATCTCTGCATCCCCCCCCCTTTAAGTGGGCCAAAAGGGAAACTAAGTACCGATAGGAGTGACAAGTGAATAATTTACCCTGAGAAATACAACTGTCAGAGGGTACTGAATGTTTTTGTCAGTTTTAACAGTCCATTCTCTCTGTAAGCAAGCTACTACTTAAGAAGCTGCAACCTCAGAAGTTGCTTGGTGAGCCTGCAATCAGAGCAAGGGTACTGGTTCACCTTAAGAAGTGGCTTTCAGTTAAGGAAGCTCGAAGTACTCTTACACATTATGGGGATGGCTCTGCCAAGGAAAGCTGAATGTTCCATTCATCTTAGCCAGGACTCCCTCTCCCCAGACAGCGCTTGGGTGGGAAACTACCAACCCTTAGTCCTCTGACTCTTCTTTTCACACACTCCCATGCTTGAATAAGCCCCATGCTGCACATGATCTTTCTCTGAACACAGTATCACGTAGTTGATTTGGTTTTCTGTTTGCTAAATTTCAGTCATATCCTAGTACTGCCTCCTAGAAGTTACACAGAACTTCTCCGGAGTTCTGCCTATACCCAAACTCTCCAGTCTCTTGATTGGCTCCCGTATTGTCTGTGGATTGTACAAGTTATACTTAGATAATAGCCTTATATCTGAACTATTAAGGACTATCCACTGTAGATCCCAACGTTCTGACATTATTTTTATCACTTTTCCCAATATAAAAAAAAATGGTTCAGTCATTGCTGACAGGTGAATCATTGAGCTCACTAAACCAGTCAGTGAAATGGCTCCACACTAATGACTAGAAGCCAGAGGCCAAGTTCAGCCAATTTTATCTTCGTCTCAGGGTTTCTCTAATACTTATTTATTTCAAGGTGATATTCTCTCTTTGAATCCAAGTATTTTTGTAATATTCTTTTATGCTACCTACTTTGTCAGTGTGCATGCCTTTTTGGACAGGTACCCACTATGTAGCTGTGACTTCTACTCAACCTTTTCTGTTACTGCCTTCTGAGGGCTCCATGCCTCTTTCTTGCTAACCGATGCAAGTGAAAGTCTGTCGCTCTCCTGTTTAGAACCCTGGCCTAGTCAGAAGATTTATGCAATCTCAGACACTCTAATGAGCTCATTCAGGGTGGTGTTACATGCTAGGCCTCAAGACATTAAGATTGTTTGGAGTGAGGTGTGTAGCACTCCCCATGAGTTAGAAAATGTGGGGCTTTTGGAGGCCATCACCCAACATCACTCTCCCAACTCCCACTCTTCCCCCCTCCAAATGAGAATAGCTATACAGTAATTTTTTTCTCACAAAAGAATGCTGGCTGGGGGCAGGAGAGGGCAGGACAAAAAGAACAAAAAAAGTATTAAGAAAGTAAAACAAAACAAAACAAAACAAACAAACCACACTCTCACTCCAGGTCTCCTTTTTTGATGGCTATTTCGTTCCAGATCTGGGACTAGATTTCAGAGGAAATGGTAGACATTAATAGCTGGGAGGCGGGGAGGTTGAAGGAGAGGTTGCTGTCCCAGGAGCTTAGGGAAGGAAGAGGCAATTTTTCAAAAAAGTACAAGTGGCCAGTAGCCCCTGGGGAAGATGCTGTCCCTTCCTGGTAATCCAAGGAA